TGATGCAGGAATTATTCTGAAATGGCATTTGGAAAGTTATTCGCCGATCAGCGAATACAAGGTGAGTACGATGTATATCAAGAATATATGCTTCTTATTATAAAGTAAAAAATATTATCTAAAACACAATTTTTTTACTTACAGGTACAATATCGTCGCAAGGGTAACTCGAAATGGAACTTCATCGAGCCTGAAGTCAAAGACGGTAAAGGAAATCAATTTATCGTAGAATGTCCAATTCCAGAACTTCAGCCTGGATCTTACGAAGCGATCCTAAAGGCTAGAAATGGATTTGGATGGTCTTTGGAGTCAGAACCGCATACATTTAGTAGTGGTGCGTATATTAATCTTATATGAATTTTTATACGTTTTATTATATATCTATATTTTTTGAGCGTATAAAAATAATTTTCGTGATTTGTGCATTATTTTATTATAAATAGACATTAATTTGAATAAAAGATTGAAGAACTATCTATAAGAAGGCTTATTAATCAATCGTATAGTGATTTGATTATTAAATTAATTAGATATATAATTAAACTATTTAAAGTATTAATACATATAAATAATATAACAGTATACAAATATTAAAACTTCGTTTTCTTACTTCCTTTTTAGATTATCCCCCTGATTTAGCATTAAAAGGTACGAATACAATTTTTTCAAACAGAACATTTATTTTAATTATGATCTTTTTTATCATCAGTTCTTAATTTCCTATTTATTTACAGAAAATTCGGCAACTGTACGATCTCCCGGAACGTTTCTAACGTTGATCCTAGTCGTTTTATCTTGTGCCTTCACAAGTCTGTAACTCTTTACTTAAATCTCTACTAAAGTATGTAGGTGAGTATGACGTAAATTTATGAACAAACGATAAAAGCTTACGATAAATTCATTAAGTGACGTAAATGATTTATTTATGACACAGGTAATTTGCTGCAGCCAAAGCAACACCAGCAAACGCTATGGTGGATTTATTAGTGTAGGAACACTTAGGAGAGACATAGCGCTAATAGCGAACATAAATATTTTTAGCGCAAATTCCCCCTTCTCTATCAGGATATATTTTATTTTATGTACATATATATTTAATAAAATATTTTCAAACATGCGGGCATTATCGAGACACATTAATATACATTTTACATAGTCGAAATTTCGTGATTAATATTGATTTACAACTCACCTAGGTGTTCCATTAAGATGCATTGTAAAGAAAAAAAATGAGCATTTTAATTGTATCGTAAAATCACGAATAATTATTAAGAGATATTGTACTTTAAAATATATACATAATTTATATATATATATATATATATATATATCATACATATATATATATATCATACATATACACACATATATATGAATACGTATGTACGCACATACGCCCATGTATACGTGTGTATGTGTACACATAATATAGTATTCACACTATACATGCGTAAGCTCACAGAGACACACGATCATATTATTATAATTTATTTTTGTATGCTTAAGATTATTAGAAACGTGTTCAAAGAAGTCGCTTGGTGCCATGTACACGGGTCTACTACTTCCGAAAAATCATGTATAGAATCTGATCTGTCGTCCACTGTGCACATGTGGAAAGAACATGTACCTAAAATAATGTAGTAAAAGAGAAGTAAATATTATAGAAACGTATATGCTATTGCGATAATACGTATATAACCGAGTCGACAAAGAATATAAAGTTGGAAGCATTCATACTGAGATTATCGTTTATACAAGAATTGTTCATTAACATTACGTCCACGTTCTCGTATGTTTGCTCCCAATGGAAGCAAATCTTTCTTTTTTTATTTACTCCTATGTTTCTCGAATATGTACAATGTGATGCGCGAGTAACGAATGTGATTGGAACGAGTATGGGAGAGAATGACGTTCTATTTAGTGTTTTCCATAATAGTTTGCTAGCTTTTAGCGCTGATACGTTGTTATATTGATTTATAATTAATGTTATACGCAGTAACTATAATTGTATAAGAAACTGCCCATTTTAGAAACGGCCGGTGTGCTTGTCATAGATATGAATAACATTAATACATAAAGAAAAACAGCCATATTCTTTCTAAAGTACATAAAATATTAAAAATAATAAGTCTGTGTGTATAATTTTAATATTCTTAGACAAAGCAACTTGTATTTTTAAATCGTAAATAATAATTATTTATGTATTTTTCAATAACATGTTGAAAATTTTTAATTATTATGAAAGTTATAAATGCTTATTAAAGCACGATTTTATACTGTACTTATTTTATTCTATGAAATTTTATTACGCTACTTTAAAGATTCTTTATATCCATAATTTTTCTCAACATATACGATTTATTTTTAGAAGCGAAAATGGCTATTAATATAAATGGGAAAGTTGCAACATATAAAAATTAAATCTTTGTTATCATCAGTCTGTTTTATTATTAATTATTGAAAGTTTTGTAAATTTAATAAATTTGATAACAATGAAACTCATTTATACAAATTAATCAGGTTTGAAATTGTAAAAATACATAATGTACGTATTTTTAATTTTAGTTACACAATTTTATCTTATATGTGTAGACTTGAACGTTTATTTTAAAACATGTCGACAATATATATATATATATAAAGTTGTAGTCAGGATGCTTATAAAACAATATATCAATATACAACACCTGATGTGCATATGAATATAGCTTCTTGTTGCCTTAATCAATGTAACATGTACAATCAAGAAAATCGAAAGATATATTAATTCATAAGATTATACCTGCAGATACATAATAAAAAAAAAAGTAAATGAAAACGTACTGCGAATTTTATTGTAAATTATTAATACAATCCTTGAAGAAATAGTGTAAAGTGTAAAAATATATATACTATTATAAATTATTTATCGTATATTTATTATTTATCATATATTTTATAAATTGTACAACACAATATAATATTCGATTTATTTTACATCTATAAGATAAAATTCATGTTTAATTACAATACGATTTATTTCATATTTGTACTTGGTTCTCAATAACAATTTAAATAATTCTTTAGATTTCAAAATCTTCCTCGGCGGCTGGCAATATTACAGTCGTAATAACCAAAGGTTTCGGATTTGATTTCTTGCAAAGTAATATTTTAACTTTCCCTGATATTTGACTTTTCAAGTTTGCATTAACAGCTAGTGGTATAGGCACAGCACTTGGTAGCAAGGGCAAATCTATCACACGAGGATTAACATCGGTGTCCTCAGCTCTGCAGAGAATATACAATTCTGTTGAAGATAAATCTTCAGAAATATTTGTTACTATAATACGAATCATGTAATTGGGACCTAAACCAAGAACATTTGTTTCTAACGTGATAGGATTAGATCCTAGTGCTTGATTTTCACTTAAATGTTCGGATGCTTGTTTGGCCGTTGTCAAACGTAAGCGAAGAAAGCCTTGCTGAAATGTGTTATGAATCTTCTTTGCTTCGGCTCTCTCTCTTATCGTTTGATCAACAAATAATCGCGTTTTCTTCGGTATCGAGAACTTCGATGTGTTACTCGACGATGAATTTGATATTGAATTATTCGTATTAAAATCAGCAGTGCGCTTTAAGATTTTCATGCATAAACCACCTCCAACAGTAACCATAGCTATTGTTCGTTCCTCTTGTCCCATTCGTCCGTACTGCATTCGTAAAAAAAGATTATATATATTTATATTTTGCCACTTTTTTAATATACATAAATGTTGTTGATAAATGTTATTAGGAATACCTTAAGAGCGGATACAGGTTCCATAATTTTCATAGTATCAACATGATGTTTTCCATCGTAAATGCGAATTCCATAGCCTACTGTACTTACAGCTAACAAAGACAGCCCACTTTGCGGTACTGGTAAGCTAACTAGATCTAATATTATACCGGGAATATTGATATGCCATAATTTTATTCCCTATAAGAAATATATATATGAGAAAGAAAAAAATTTAACAAAGTTTTCAACATTAAATTAAAATTCTTTGTCCAAGCGTACTGTTTTTGAAAATCCCACTAAAGTACCATCCATAACAGCTACTGCTGCTCCTTGAGAAGTAAGAATGGTAATAGCTACCGCAGGTGCGGGTAACGTTTCCCAAAGTTTTACAGAACTTCCTCTCCTAATTGTTCCTATTTTTCCATCTCTTCCAATAATTATTATGCGACCATCACCCGTCCATAAGCCGCAGCTGGCAAATGCTGCTGGTGGCCACTCCAGTATATGCTTATCCATAACTGAAAAAGCTCTGTATGGCAATTAAATATATATACAAAATATACATAAAATATTTTAATAAATTTTTTCTTATACAAAAAGAATACCTAGGATCCAAGACGAGAACTTCACAAGCCTCGGTCCCTAATACAAGACAACTACTAGCAGGATCATTCCACGAGTCTCTGCGAATGGTCGCAATTGCCGTTAATGCATTAGCTTTAACAAGCGGTATCCGTCTGTATTGTTCTGCAAAACTCAAGCGCAAGTTATTATCTAAAGAGAGAAACTTTAAAGTACGAGGAGAGAGAAATGCTGCGCCAAGTTCTTTCAGTAACAGCTCCAAATCATCCGCAAGAGTCAACACATTTAATTCTTCATCTAACCCGCATTTATGCCAAATCTGCGTTAAATTATTGAATGTCAAAATATGTACTATATACTCAGATTAGAAATATCATACATGAAATTGAGATAATCCTGTGTATCATTATTTATTTCTGTACCAATAAAATATAAATACTTCTCGTTCTTTTGGATGAGCATCAATATGTGGCAGACAATATTTGAAGAATGGTCTCATATTTTTGAAAATATATACGCTAGCTCCAGCTCCTACAGCAACTACAGATGATCGAGTTTCTTCATTTTCCATATAAAAACCGATTACTCCACAGGGTGGTTCTATCATGTTATGCTCAGTTATCTGATCACCTCCTTTATACACTCGTATCTAAAAATAAAAGAGTAATGTATTTTGCAAATAAATAAAATAAAAAATTGTATAAATTATTCACATAAAAGTGAATAAATGTTTTTACATCATTTGCTAATTCTAACTTAATGGTATGATTATATCTTTAAAACTTTTAGTCATAAGGAATATTCTATTATAATTTACAGAAAAATGAACTTTTGTTTTTTCTATATAAAATCTTAATTTTTATAATTATTCTATTATAGTATTATTAAAATGTATAATTTAAATATATATTTGTACATATCTTTATTATATTATTTTCTTATTGTAATTATACCTTTGTTGAATCGCTTCCAACTGGTCCTAGATCAGCACAAATAAGTCTAGCATCTCCATCACCGCTTATATCTAGCATATCAAGTCCACCTGGCAAAGAAAATAAACCAGCACTTGGTTCCCAAAGTGCTTCTAACCAGCGACTCATCCCAAGTCCTCCAAGAGATTTATGATCAGCTCTAAAAAGAAATTCCGATAAAAATAAGTACATAACAAGCACTAAAAAAGTAATGTCTTGATATTTTTATGCATACACACAAACAAAATCAATAAAAAAGTTTTTTACCTTAAACCGTGCATGATTAAAAATTTTTGTAAAAATTCTGTTTGTTTTTATATAAGTAGCAAACTTATTTACAGTTTAATTACTAAACTACCTACATATCAGAGTTTCCTTATATGATATCTGTAACATTTAACTATATACATATTGCACATTTCGAACCGAAAAAGACTTTTAAACTTTTTACATATTTTATCAATTCTATAACTAGAAATAATTTTATAATCTGATAAACTGATTTTCCATAATTAAGAGTACATGCATTAAAAATTACATTTATATGACAAAATATCATATGCTTTGTTTGTATATTTGTTTCCATAGAAATCTTTTGACAAATGGCACGAAAGCGGGAAATTTAATCGCATCAGAAATTCCCTAGAAATTGAAAAATCCTTTAGATTTAAGTTGGCTGCACTTTTTACAAAAGGCAACCAAAATGGGTTTTCTGAAATTCCCTAGAAATCGCGGGAAAGTATGTAAAACCAAAGAAAAATCTATAATTATATTGAATTATATCGCGAAAAAAATCAAGAAATATAAAACACGGTAAAATTTATTTTTTTTAGTGTATGTAGCTTTTTTCTAATCATATGAGAAGAATCATTAAAGAAATTTAAATATACATTTAAAAAATTGTAATATTTGTAAGGAATGTTTTATTTTGCGTTATATTTTATTAATATGTATTTTAATGGGTGGATCCATATA